GTCCCACCCACAGTAGGGAGCAGCCATCCTCGTTGCCCAGCGAGCGGCTCCCTCGCGCCCCTCTCGCGCGAGCCGCCCACAGTGACGCGAGATGCGCGAGGTGCATGTCGGAACCGCACCGTTTCCGCCCGCTCTAGGCGGGCTGGCCCGGGAGGTGAGGCCTCGCGGCCTGGACCGGCTCCCGTCGGGGCCTTGCCGGCCTCAGCCTCTTGAACTGACTGGATGCGGCGCCGTGGCCAGTCCACGGTCTGGAGGTGCACAGTCCGGTAAGCCCTTTCCACGCCATTAGGCCGCCTCGGCCCCGCGCATCACCCGGCTCCCCTCTGGGCTGGTCATCAGCGGCTTCCGACTCATGAGGTGATGAGCACAGAGCGGCCGTGTGCTTGGGTTTGTCAAGCACGCGGTAATTAAAAGGCAGTTCCGCGTGTAGTAGGTGCACGGCGTTTGTTGTTTAGCATTGCTCCAATAGCTCATTCTTTGCCTTCATTGGTTCCTGTGCTCTTGCTCTCGTGGGTCCCACAGTGCCACTCCTTCCATGATATTCAGCCCCTCTTTGCCTGCTGCTCCTTCCCTGGTTTCTGTTCCTCAGCTCAGTGCACGGTCCTGTTCTGGGTTCTGTTCTTGGCACTCTTAACAGATGTTGGCCTGCTACACCATCTCCTTAATTACCAAGGTGTTTAGATGGTTCCTAATTGCTCTCCTCTAACAGGACTTACCAGCTCTAGAACTGTGCAAGGCAGCATTATGTGTCAGTTTTCATCCCTCAGACTCTAAATCTGAAGTCATAATATTCTCTTCCTCTCCCAGTCTCCCACCTCCTGTGTGCTCACTAAATTCACCAGAATCACTGTGGCATGAAACTGTCAGATTTGACTCTTAACCACCTCTTCAGCCCCATCCTTCTGAGGGGCCAGGTCCTGTAAAGCTGTCTCCATCATTCTGTCCTTTCACTGCCCTTCCACAGATCCTTCAGCCTCTGTTCCGTTTCTTTTTTAAATTTAATTTATTTTGTTTTTGTTTTTTTAATTTTAGAAAGAGAGAGAGAAGGAAAGAAACATCAATTTGTTGTTCCACTTATTTATGCATTCATTGGTTGATTCCTGTATGTGCCCTGATGGGGGATGGAACCTTCAACCTTGGCATATCTGGACAACACTCTGAGTTTCCCCACCAGGGCTCTGTTCCATTTCTTCATTTGGTTTTCTTTCTGCTCCTCAGACTGGATAATTTCAAAGGACCTGTCTTCAAGTTTGCTGATCTTTCCTTTTACTTCTCAATCTGCTGTTCAACCCATCTAGTGAATTTTTCATTTCAGTTCAGGCAGTTTTCAGTACAGAATTTCTGGTTGGTTCCTTTCTATAACTCTTTTTATTGGTATTCTCATTTTATTCATCTGTTGTTTTCCTGATTTTCTTTAGTTCTTTGTCTATGGTTTCCTGAACTCATTGAGCATATTTAAAATAGTTGATTTAAAGTTTTTGTGTAGTAAGTCCATTGTCTGGACTTCCTCAGGGATGGTTTCTGTCAAGTTTTTTGGTTTTGTTTTTCCTGTAAATGGTCCAAATTTTGCTGTTTCTTTGCATGTCTTGTCTTTTTGTTGTTGTGAAGAACTGTATATTCTAAGTGTTATAATGTGGTACCTCTCAAATGTGATTCTCTTAGTCATCATGGATTGATTTTTTTAAATTTATTTTTAGAGAGAGAGAGAGGAAGGGGGATAGAGGGAGAAAGAGATGGATTTGTTGTTCCACTTATTTATGCATTCATTGGTTGATTTTGTATGTGCCCTGACCGGGGATTGAACCCGGAACATTGGCATATAAGGATGATACTCTAACCAACTGAGCTACCTGGCCAGGGAGGGATTCCTAATTTTTGCTTGTTGAGGGCTGGAGCTGTATATTACTTTTATAAACTATTTTTGCAGTGTATATGCCTTGTTTTTTTAATTTTTTTTAGTTATTTAACTTTGTTATATTTTAAAATGTGACGACTGTAAAACATAGTATTTACATTAAACCTGAGGACTGTTCAACTGGGCACAGCATCTTCACACAATTTGAGAGAAGATTACAAGTGTAAATTAAAACCTTGTCTTATAATACAAAAGGAATAACATAGGTAAAACCACTCTTTAGATCACATATGCCCAATAAATAGCTGCATTTGTTTATAAATATAAAGGACACTTGGTTTTTTAAAAAGAAAATGTATATTCTGACCCCTGGTGAACATTTTATTGGCATTTACAACAAATGGCCAATACAATTAGCACCAATTCTCATAGCTTATAAACATGACAACAAATGTGTAATATATATAATGTAACAATGTAATAAATAACAAAATAATAACATGTTTTGCTTGAAAGTTCTAATTTTTAAAATACATCCCAAAATCACAAATCAGAACTAACATATGGTCCAAAGTTTGATAGAATAAATGGCTCAAAAAGCAAATTAACTAGAAACATTGCACAAGACAGAGAACTTTCCTGTATGGAAACCCTGAAGAGTAAGCTGAGAGGTACTAATGATGGCAAATGACATGCATATTTTTTACAGAATAAAAACATCTCACTATGTATAGGTTTAATCTTTACCTCTGTAGAAGTACAAAATGCCATTTTAAATTCAAAAAGAAAAGATTTACTTGGGTTATACTTTAGATATAGAGTAAAATATAAATATGAAAGTATCTATATGAAGAGTAAACAAAGATAATAGAATATACATCTTTTAAAAATTTGAACATAGGCATCTTCAAAGAGATGTAAGCTATAAATGGCTAGTTAAATATCCAAGGTTAGACAAAATATTTTTTAAAATAATAGGTATTTAATATAAAAGAATATAACCAGACTCCACTGAAACCACCCTTGTAATATAAAACCTATTGCATAAAACAACCATTCTATCAAAAAACTGGTAAGAACACTTCATGAAAGCTAATAGGGTTGCTTTTTTTATTTTCAGTCCTCACCTGAGGATATTTTCTCCATTGCTTTTCAGAGAGAGTGGAAGGGAGAGAGAGAGAAATAAAAACATCGATGTGAAAGAGACACGTCAATTGGTTGCCTCCCACATGCGCCCTAGACCGGGGCCAGGGATGAAGCCTGCAACCAAGGTAGGTGCCCTTGACCAGAATCGAACCAGAGACCCTTCAGTCCACTGGCCGACGCTCTAACCATTGAGCGAAACAGGCTAGGGCAAGGTTGCTTTTTTAAAAAAATAGGAACAAATACAGCATACAGAGAAATAATAACAAAAAGGAAAATCATTTATATGGCTATTCCATTTCAGGAAACTGGTAGAACAAGAACAGAACATTGCAGTAACAGACATAAAATATTGAGAAAGATGGTATCTACTACAGTTGTATCTTTAAATTCTCTTCTAAGGAAAACTTCTCATGGATTTTATTAGAGAATTTGTCAATCCCTGATACTTTCTCTTTGGATTTAGCTGTTTTGGTTCTACATATAAACATTAACAGAAATCAAAGGTGTTTCTTATATGAAATATATTTGTAAACTAGACAATGGCAACAATAAAAAACAAACTGCCAATTTGAATATACTAATGGTAACGTGTGAAATGGTTTCTAAAGAAGTAGATTGGATTGTAATGTAGTTCTACAACTCTGGATATAACATATTTTTAGAGGAACCTTCTACAAAAGAATTTCTAAGGGCAGCAAAATGATTTTACAACAAGGTGGCATTGATCTCCCCAGAATTAAGTCCAGTCTAAGTCTACACAAACATTTTTCAAATGTCAACGTATTTTTCTCCTTTAAGCTTTTTGATGTAGTGGCACAGCTTCAGAGCTGTCCCCAGCTTAAGCCCCATATACTTCATCATCATGTCACTCTTTTCTTGAGTAGCAGCAGAGCTTTCCCATCAATGTCAAGTTGCCTGAAGGGGTCCACGAGGGGGCTGAGTGTCTGAGTATATGTTTCAGAAACAGGATCACTTCCTCTATGGACCAAGTTGAAGGGTCATCAGAGAAGTTTTGTTTTAGCAAACCCAGGTCAGTTCCAACTGATGAATTTGTAGCAAAGCCGGCAAGGATGCAGAGAGATGAGGCCATATGGCCAAGGCTCTTATTTTCCAGCATAGTTGAGTAAGCCATTATCTCAGGGTTGTGTGCTGCACTGGATCTGTCTTGGCCCAGCATGGCTGCAGGTACTGATGTGGAAGCTCAAGCAACTGAGAAGATACTACACTTGCTGTGAGCCCCTGGGCTGGCAAAGCAGGACATTGAAGAGGAGCCCTGGACTGGATCATTGGGTGTGTAATATGACTGTGAAGACGGAAGAAATCATGGGACTCTGGCTGCGGCGTGGCTCCTACTCCTGGTAGAGTGACTCCTGATTCCGTCCCGGGAATCCTCTGACTGGTAAGATGTTCCTACAGGGTTGCTCTGGGAATCATTTTCTGGCCTTTCTACTGGCATAGTTGGGTTCTCACTTTCAGGGTAAGACAATGAAGAGGGAGGATGCTCCTCCTTTACTTTCTGCAGGTAATTATTATTTTTGTATGCATATCCAAGTGGGTGATTTTGCCACATTGATTTAGCATGAAAACAGTGAATTTTTGAAACCTTTCCATTAATGCCATCAAACTTCTTATCCAGGTTTTGACTAGCATTGTGGATGATCTGGCAGTGACTCAGAATATCTGGCTGAACTGAAGACCTAGGGGAGATGGGAAGCCCCCATTTTTACCCAAAAAATGTCTTAGGCTGGGGGAGAGGGTTAGCCTCCTGGGGTGAAATAAGCAGGCCCTGTCCCATCCCACACTCCTCCATCACGGAGTTTAGGATGTGGTGGAGGCTATATGTGTGTGTTGGGGAGACACTGGGAAAAGATGAGTAAGGGAGAGTGCCCTCATTGGAATCTGTTATGAGGGCTGGGAGTGTCCCTGGTCCAGCCTCTGGACTCTTAGATGAGATGGGGCTGGAATGGGTCAGGGCAGGGGCAAGGCTGGGCACTCAGCCTAGAAAGCCATCAGGGTCATCATCCTCAAAATGGCCTTGCTGGAACACCTTGATGTGGTGCTTATAGATTTTCAGGGCTGGACCAATGCGGATGGACAGGCTAGTTAGCACGTCTGACCGCTGCATAAGCAGGAGAGACTTGCCATTGGTTTTCTGTTCTTGGAAAGCTGTTGCCTGCTCTGGGAAGCCAGCCTCTGTGAAATATTTTACCACGTCCATTACTGTCCACTCTATGAGGTCAGCTGGCTTCTCTTTGAGCCCAGAAGGACAGCCAAAGGGGGTCCTATTGGCCCCAGGCAGGGCTGGTTTTCCTGGGGCAAAGGCATGGGGGATAGGGAGTCTGGCCCAGTGCTAGCAGAGGCAGATCCCCCTTCCTTTATTCATGGCTGCCATGGAGAACACCTGGCACTGGCCCCCACCCTTCATCCTGGCCTTGGTGGGGTCCACAGTGTGTCCATTCCTTGGCACTCTGTGGGTTCCACTGGCCATTAAGCTGGTGGTGCTAGGCACCTATAGGACAGTCACCCTCGGGCACCGCGGAGCCTTCAGACACACTGTCTTCATCCTTCTCCTCTCATTATCATCTTCCTCTTCTTCATTCTCAAGCAGTTGCTCTTCTGGTGAGAAATCTAGTCATTCAAATTGTTATTCCCCTGTAGGTAATGCTTTGTTCCTCTCCAGCTGCTTACAAGATTTTTTTCTTTATCTTTAATTTTTGGAAATTTGATTATGATGTGTCTGGGTGCTAACTTATTTGGGTTTATCCTTTTAGGGTTTGTTCAGATTCTTGAATTGGTAGGTTTGTCTTTTGCCAAATTTGGGAAGTTTTCAGTCATTATTTTTTCAAATATTTTTTGTGCACTGCACTTTTTACTATCCTTCTGGGACTCCAGTAACATGAGTGTTAGATCTTTTGTTATTGTTCATTAGGCACTTGTTCATTTTTTTTCTGTTTTGTTCTTTTGTCCAGATTGGATAATTTCTACTGATATATCTTCAGATTCATTGATTCTTTCCTCTGTTAAATCTCTATTCTATCAAGCTCATTCAGTGAGTTTTTACTTGTAATTTTTATATCTTCTTTATATCTTCTTTCTCTTTGATAAGACTTTCTGTTTTTCAATTTGTTTCAAGAGTGGTCATAATTAGAAAAGTTTTGATAGCTTCTCTAAAGTTCTTTTTTTTAAAAAAAGTTTTTATTGATTTTAGAGAAAGGAAGGGAGAGGGATAGAGAGATAGAAACATCAAATGAGAGAGAACCATCAATCAGCTGCCTCCTGAATGCCCCTACGGGACTGAGCCCACAACCTGGGCATGCGCCTTGACTGGGAATCTAACCAGTGACTTCTTGGTTCATGGGTAGATGCTCAACTAGTGAGCCACACTGGCCAGGCTAAAATTCTTGTTCAATAATTCCCACATCACCTCAGTGTTGGAATCTGTTGTCTTTTCTCATTTGAGTTGTTTTTTCATGGTTCTTGGTATGAGTGGTAATTTTTTTATCTTGGACATTTTGAGTATTATGTTATGAAGCTAGATCCTATGTAAATCTTCTATTTTAGCAGTCAGTCAGTATGTTTATATATAGAATGCACATTCTAGTCCAATTTTGTGGGCCCTGGTTTGAAGATCAGTTTAGTTTTCAAAGACTTCGCAAAGCTATTCTGACCTGCCCCACTGTGTGCTACCCAGAGGCCGATTTGAAATCTCAGAGTGTCCTACATTGTAGTTCAGTTCTCAAAGTTTTTTCTGTGTTGATACCAGTTGGTTTCATACATGGACTGCTTGGGGAGGCATAATCCCTTTTTTTAGCTTCCCTCTCTCTATTTGAGAGGGGATAGGGTGCCACCTTTTCATTATTCAATTAGTGCAAGTTGTGAATAGTCAACAGAACTCCTCCCCATGGTCTCTTGGTATAAGGTGGTGATGGTCAATACAGCTTTGTCCCACAGTCTCCACAGTACCTGGTGAGGAGAGGGAAAGATATAGGTTATTTTGTGGTGCTTGACTAGGGTAGGGTGGCTATAATCAAAAGGGTAACATCCTGCAGAACTATACTCTTTCTGGTCATTTGGCTAGAGAGAATGAGCTTTTACTGGGGCTTGTTTGGGGGGGGGGCGGAAGGGGAGGAGTTATTAGCATTTTCTAGTTGCAAATTGCTCTAACACCCAAGCCAGGATATGTAGGAGGCAAAACAAATAGACCATCCAGGGAACTCACCCCTGGGTCATCCCTCAAGTCCCTAGCCAGTTTGCCTTCTTTTCTCCATCTTTCAGAATATTTTTTTTATATTTACTTCATGTATTTTGAATGGAAATTTTTATGGTAATTAGCGAGAGGAATATTATTAAATGTGCTTATTCCACCTTCTGTGGAAGAGGAAACAACATAAGGCATTTTAAATTGTTTTCTTGATAAGTTTTAGAGTATTACTTCTCATTTTAGCAACAATACATTTGCTCCTGTGTGTGATGAAAAATCCTGTCCATTTTGTGTATCGATTATGTCTCATGGTACCTTACTGCATCAGACAGTAAAAACCTAACCCCAGTACACAAACCAAACCGTCTTCCTAAAGAACTCTACTCTTCAGCTCTCTGCCGATTACTGTGGCTCATGAGACCTCTCCAGATCTTCCGCATTTCATCTACCCATTTGGGCCCTTTCTCCGGGTGACCAGCTGCAGCCTTTTCAACCCTTGCTGAACTTGCAGTAGGACTGTTGGGAGGATTAAATAGATTTATACATATCAAGCACAGCAACTGGCACAGAAAAAGCAGTCCTCACATGGTATTAGTGATGGTTATACCCTTCAATTTTGGCACAGCCTAAGCTTCAAGAAAAAGATAACCCAAACTATCTATGGTCTCCCACCAAAGAAAGGAAGTCAGATTCTTGTTAGCTTCCGTTTGAAGATGGAATTTTCACTCATGCAATAATCTGCAAACATTTACTGAGTGCTCACCATATTGTGCATCCAAAGATAAACAAATAAGACACAGTCAGTGTCTTCAAAGAGCCCAGAAACTAGAGTGGGGAATATATATCTGAAATGAGTACAGTAAAGGAAGGAAGTGCTGAGGAAGGGTTCACAGAGTTAGTGACACCTAGACTGAATCTTAGAAGATAAACAGGTTTTCCCTAGGTGAGTAAAGCTATTTCATGCAGAAGCAGGATGAACAAAAATTTCAGAAGCATAAGTCAGTATGGCAGATGGTTTAGTATACACATACTCTGTGTTATATGCCTGCAGTTAGATTAAAATTGTATGTTTAAAGAAGTACACAAGCCACACTCTAACCTAATTCACAAGATCCTTCATGATCTAGTCCCTACTTCAGTTTTATCTTATCATTTGCATAAATGTTTATAATTATCTGATATCATGTATTAATACCTGCATAGTGATACACAGTATCCATTTTAAACACAGACTTCTTTTCCATTGCTTTTTCAGAGAGAGTGGAAGGGGGAGAGACAGAGACAGAGACAGAAACATTGATGTGAGAGAGACACATTGATTGCCTCCCACACATGCCTGACCAGGGCAGGGGATCAAGCCTGAAACCAAGGCACATGCCCTTGGCTGGAATCAAACCCGGGACCCTTCAGTCCACAAGCTGAAGCTCTAACCACTAAGCAAAGCCGGACAGGGCTTGGATCTAACTCTTGAGACAAGACTAGCTTGAGACACATTCAATCCCAAGTATAAAATGAAAAAACAAACAAATCCCACTCAGTCACTGATCTGAATTGAGTATGAAGGGAAGGAGTACAGGGTAGCAGATGCCTAAGTGACAGCAACTTGAGTTTTTTACTATAGACTTGCTGGATCTCCCCATTTCCATTGTGTTGTTGGTATGTCTTGTGCCAACTCTTTTTTATCCACAGCTGCCTCAGGCATATTAGAGGCAGATGGCATCTTGGCATAGTTATTTTCTCAAGACTTCCATTGGATAAGACTTTGGCAGATTCAGTCTTATCTTCCATATTGGGGCTGCTGAGGTAGTTGGATGGCAACTAAACCATGCAGCGTTTCCCTCACTTTCATCATTTTGGGGGTGGTCATTGCCTGCTACTGTCCTCTACCCCCCTCTTTTCCTAAGACACAACCAACTGGAGGCTGCTCCTGTTCTCAGGGGGTCCAGCACAGAGGGTGTATGACCCAGGGCACATGGTATCTTCACTCTGTTTCCTCCTTTTGAAGCACTTTTTCCTTGCCCTTTATGCTTTTGTCAGTGAATCACATCGTTTTAACACACGAGCCTCTGTCTGGACTGCAGCCTTTACACAGTTGGTTCCTCTATCTGAAACTTTTCCCCAGGCTCCTTTTATCTCCTTACCCCTTTAGCCAAAGACAGGACTTCCTCAGAGGACTTTGCTGTTACACCTCCCTTCTGTATGCTGTCATGGCAGCCAGTGGTAGATTGTGTTTTCTGAAGATGGCCACAGTAATACCTCCCATCCCATGTGCTCTTCTTACAATATAATTTTAATGCTGCTTTTATCAAGTGGTGGGGGTGGATAGTATATGTATCTTCTCCTTGAACCTATGCAGGTCTTTGTGATTGCCTGACCAAATACAGTAGGACAAAGGTGATGCTAAGGTACTTCCCAGACTAGATCATCAAAATACTATGTACTTCTACCCTTCTCTCTGGGAATGCTTGTTCTTAGAACTAAGCTGCTGTACTCTGAGGAAGCCCAAACTA